CCATAAATTGCCCACACATGATTTCACAATGCTTGGGGACCCCGGTAATTGGGCCCACACTTGAGAGATCCGCAGGAACGAGTAAAAACACTGTTCAGCTCGAATGGTTTATTAATAGTTACCATCAAGAATGCCATGGTAGACATAAACATTACCCCAACGGCGAATGTCAACTTCGAAATTGCACTGCAGTTTTAAAAAAAGGCGAAACGTGATACCATTTAGAAAATTGCACACACACGTTACAGCAAAATAGAAAAATATTATAAAACGTCTGTCAGCTTTACACCAACTTTTGTACCACTTCTCAAGTGGAACTTAACTTTCAAGCCCTGAACCCGTGACAAAAGGTTTCCTCACTAGTTACCAAAAAATATGATAAGTTGAGATGAAAGTTGATAAGTTGAGATGAACTACCTTTTCAAGTGCTATACACAGCACTTTGAATCGGATTTTGCTTATGGTTGCTGTCACTGATAACTAGCACTATGCATAAACATTCATCTTAGAAGGTACAATTTACAATTTGTTTACGTATCACCTCAAGTTTGTTCTAAGAAGGTATATGCGAGTGGCCGATGGTTGCATTAATTGCTCTACTCCAAACAGATTGGACACGCATGAACGAATAGCCGAGACTTCCTGAGAGGAATCGGCGACGACGCATGGTTTGCCTTGGTGTTGTGGAAATCGCTCAGCAAACACGAACCACGCAGAATGCCATTACTCTCATCCGCTTTAAGCAAATTACGTACGGCATGATTTAAACACACTTTTTTATCGCATCTCTGCTCCATTTATCCGCAGAGAGATGACACAATATGAAATTTAGACAGAGTGATGTGGGTACACGGATGTCTCAAGACCTGTTCGTCGCCCAGCCCTGGTGATGCCACATAAGTCAGTTGACGGAAGATGGGCCGAACATGAGGAGTTACTTTGAAAAGAATATAATCTCGAATTAAAGAAAAAAAATGGCGTGAAGCAAACACATACGATGAATAGTAGGTTGGTTTAAAAATCGTGAAAATTTGAGCCTCTGAGCAGTTGAGGCCCTGATTTCGGATAGTCTCAAAGTGTCTCAAGGACTGATAAATAAATTACCAGTGAGTAGAAAAATTCGTGAATTCCATCAAAGCACCATTACCGCCGTGACATGTCTTTAATTTGACAATTTTTTTGTCTACAAAAGGCTAAAATTATGCGATACTGGACCTGACCCACAGGCCACAATTTCCTTCCACTTTAAAATAATCGAAGACGACCTCCTAACAGGATTTACAGTGGAATTATCTTAATCATATTCGCCTTTCATACATCTGAACACTTATATAAGGAAACCGGCTGTTTAAGCCAAAATATTGTACCTCGTCAGGCCTTCGAAGCCTTCTACGTGGACTGTCTAAACATAATTGTAATATTTGAGATATCTTCCAAAAATCATGTAATATCAGGCGTAATATTATAAAGGGATTCCCGACTAACCCCACAGCTAGGAAACACGACCACAAATAACCACGCGAAGCCAAAGACGACAGTAACTGATCGATGCTTACTAGAACAACAACCTGAAGTTCAACACCGGCAGCAATTTTTTGAGGGAAATCTTTTACGGGTACATAGGCTCCGAGTTACAAAATCTAGAAATAAACTTGAACAAACAGCTACGACTCAGAACTCAAGAGCGCAAACATTTGACTTGGACAACAACGTGTTGCATTTGCCCAACGGTGAGACGTTTAGGTTGATGAAGCCATGCCTCCTTAAGGCATACATTTTTTGGGCAATTCTGCCTACCCTCGGAGAATTTTGGAACAGGTAGTGTGGGCAAGTAAGTACATTTTGCTAAATGCATGAACTATAAAGGCAATATTTTCAACGTCTTAACCTGCTTAATTAACACGTTTTAACCTGGTTGCATCTCAAACATATCAAATATATTTCCACAATTATCCAGTAAAGCAATCAGATGTATTCATTGACGGAAAATGGAGCACCCAAAAAACCGTATGATTAGATCCAGTTTTCAAGCTTTCAATAAATCTTAAAATGAATTGACATCGGCGGATGTTTCATTGAACACTCCATCAAATGTGCAAAATCGAAATTTAATTCATTTTATGAACCTAAAAAGTATGTACTTCTTTTTGTCAAATTCGGCGAAAAGGTGAATCTGTTTGAGCTAATAAGGAAACCTCAAAAGCTTTTTAGTGAAATAAACAAATTGACAGACAAGACAAAGTGCAGAGACCCGAAACCTAACTTGAGAGAGTGATTGGCATCTATGTAGTTTACGACGATGTTAGGCGAGAGACTCTACATTAGGATGATAAATAAAGCATATCAAAGTTAAGGAAATGAAGAACTTACCAAAAGAGCAATTGGTAAAACATTCAGGAACAGAGTAACAATCGCATCCAATATTTTGGTCGCCACTCAATGGGTGAAGCGGGACACGATTGCTAATATGAGGCTTTAAGGAGTTAACCGAGGTGACGCCTGAAATGTCTGCTGCTGCATTGTCAGTTGCGTGCGCCGACATCAAAATCAAAAAGCCACATGACGCTAAGACAACGACCCAAAAAGAGGGAGGCCTCATGCGGAATCGATTCTGTACATCAAAGAACGAGTTTTGTCATGGACCAACCTAATTTAAATAAAAAAAAACACGTCTATATTTTAGCTCACATTTAATGATTTCAACCTAAACAATTAACCACTAAAAGTCAAAAAAATTTATTGATCCATATAGGCATTCAAACACGGACTCAACTGAGTTGTTTATATGGCTGTAAGTAATTAAAATTACTCCATATATGTTCAGACACCTGACGATACATCTAGAGATAGAAAATAGCTTGAGAAAACCTGAAAGGAGAAGAGTTGATCTAAACACCCAATGCATACGAACTTGGTATATTGAATTATGTGAAAATTATCACCCAAAAATATTTTTGGCATAAATTGAAATTACAGAAGACCAAAAAAGAAAACTAATCAAATCTAAAACATTTACCACAGTATGTGAAACGAATCACAGGGAAATAATAACAAATCCTAAGGCCATTCAGAAAACACATACAAACTAGCAATATCACACATTTGTTTTTACTTGTCATCTTTAATAACCATAAAATGTGCCCAATAACTGTGCATACCAAACATCATATATATAAATCAGTGGATCAAAAAAATTAAAATTTGAGTAGAGCACATAAAGCGATGAAGTCATAACACAGTACTACAAATCTAAGTTTATTAAAATCTTAACGAATTGATAAACTAAATAAGCCAGTCGAAAATACGCCTCGAAAACTCACGAAATTGTCAGGACGGCAGTAAAAGTAGATAAAGCGGCACCAAATTTAAAATTACCAAGGTCATATTCGCGTAGCGTTTAAAATAACCAAATTAGGTTACAACAAAGGAACCAAACATTGAAAAAATAGTGTTTCGGCAGCATCTACAGCAAAATATTTTTAGTAAAACCATAGTCTTCAATGTTTATAACAAAGAAATTTAATATTAGAGCACAACAAAAACTGAATGATGTGATATCAGAAGCATTGAAGGCAAAATTATTTTTCCTTCTTAAAGAAACACCACAGTTTAATTTAGCAAGTAAAACATGGGAACAAAAGTTTTCATCAATGTTGTTTGCATGCAGTGTTCCAACCTCTTGATCAGATTGAATGGAATGTTACTATTTTTTGATATAGTCGCCAAGCAATTAGAACTTAGCCTTGATTCCTGTAAACATTTGTACTCAAATTGAACAAGGCGATTTTAACTGCAATAAACTCTTACTGGCGTCCTTGGTCTCATGCAGTCCACCTAATTCTGCCACAAATGATTCCTTCTAGAGATTCTGCCTGACAGCCGGTAATGAAGAAAGGAGATATGGTAAGAGATGCACTTCGTTCACGAGGGATTAGGCACCCACGTATCTCTATTTTCTAATGTATTTTTTGGCCGATGGCTAACCTACACAAACGACTGTAAGAGCGAATAAACAATTCTTCGTTATTCGATGGTGTTCTTATGGATTTTCTTAAAATTCGGCTTTAGTTGACAGATATTGAGCCTAATTCAGCAATTAAGCAATAAATTTTCAACAAAAGACATAAAATTGTCAAACGTTTTTTCGAAAAAAATAAGACGTGGTATTTTTGACAAGACGAAATTGGGTAAGTACATCGGTATAATGACTAGTGTGCACAGTAGTAAGGCTTTACGTGTGGCTACAAGGAATCACTGACTGCCAGATTTCATCAAATGGTCAGCATGTCTTAGCCCAAATTTTTATTCAAATATCGTGATGCGAGGCGTGACGAAAAAAATATATTTTCCTTAAGTGTGTTAATGGGTAACTTTTATAAACGAAATTTATGACTCCAGCACTAAATGTTTGGTAAGTGTTTTTTTGTAGCAGTTTACTATAGCAAATCTCGTACTGATGTAGAAGCTAATGTATTCATTAACTTCAAATATGTTAATACGATCTGCGTGATAATGAAGCAATTTATTAAAATTACATGAGCTAACTTCGATTTTTGAGAACCTGCACTAATGGTTGCATCATATCCTTACAACCTCATAACATTGATTTGACATAGCCTTAATCCACAATGAAATCCTCAGCGTATTGGAATTCGCTGTTGAAGCACAACGTGAAAATTCAGTGCAGTTTAGTCCAATGCTTTGCAGATCAACTTTTCCTAAGCACTGTGAATTGCGTTTTTTCAGAAAAAATTGCTACAGGAATCTTTTTGTTAGTTGTTTATTTATTTCTTTACCATTATTCTAAACTATTTACCTAAGCATTTCCGATTTGCCATAAATATTTACTAAAACTGAATTATATAATTAATGCTGGGTGATTTAAAAACTAAATAATAAAGCAAACAAAAATTATCTAGATTGAGCAATCGTTGTTTTATCTAATCAACTTAACTCTTAGGAGTCTCCCCATTTTTGAACCGTCTTGAAAGCTCTTCTCCATGTTTGCTGAGAAAATTTCACACGGTGACGATGACTATGATTATCTAATTAAATTACTTGCCTTGGGTATGTGTTTTACAGTAACAATAGAAAGATATATGATGTTTTAACATGATTTTTTTCACCTTTTTCAGTTTTTCTTTACAGCTGCTGTTTTGCTATTTAGTAACTAGTTTTTTTTATAATATAGTTATGTTACGTATCTATGTTTATGCGCTTTACAATAATACATTCTGATGCTTGGTACCCCAGCCATTATATCCAAATAGGGTTACCTATTTAGTTGCGGTTCGTGTTTTTATTAATGGTTCGCCCCTGAAATTTACACGATTTACGTGTGAACTGCAGCATTTTCTAGGAGCAAGAGCACCTTATGCACTGACATAAGTATGTGCATGGCTCAATATTTTTAAAATATAACTTGACATTCTGCTACCTGACCTTTATTATTCATGCCTCGATATTTTTGCGTTTTCTTATGATAGCAATCGTATTTTTACACTGCAGATATAAATTATTAAAACTTCTGTATGCTTGAAATATTGATATTCATCGTTTTTCTACAATAGATTCGCTTACAAACATGACTAGCATTTAAATAATTGTTTGACATTTAGATTTAAGAATGCGTTTTATTTAGGTGATAGTAACGTCGGTAAGACAAGTCTATTGCACCAGTACACCGATGGTGTCTTTAATGTCGACATGAATGCCACTGTGGGGGTCGATTTTCGTCAGAAACGCGTTATTCGAGAAAACAAACAAGATACAAGTGGACTATTGGGACAAAAGCAGCGTCTCTATTTGCAACTGTGGGACACTGCTGGCCAGGAAAGGTATACACTTTAAAATAATGTACCCTAACAACTAATTTTGCTGCTACCTACTTATGTTAAGATGATAGTTTGTGATTTACTTTGGATTTGTACATCGACTGCTCTAAGTCTGTTGGCATTGAGGCCTTAACATAGTCTAACTTTACAATTTTTTGCCACTCCTATTTACCATTGTCTCAATTTCAGGAAAGTATGATTGCAAATTTGGTAATTTACTTGTAGCTATACGTGGAGCTTGCAACTATTGTTGAAATGAGTGTAATCAGAACTGTTTTGATTACATGCTTTTTATTTGTGATTGCTCTTGCACTTGGAAGTGGCTTTTGTTTCATATATCTAACTAAATACTAACTGTCTACATTGCTATTATATTCTCCTTGACTTCTAAGTGAAAACCTGCATTAATTACCGAACCACGACTTTAATTCGGATACTCTTGTTTGATAATTTGACCAGTCTATCGATTTCCTTAAAAGTAATTTTTTTTTCAAGTGAATCTTAATTTGCTATTATTTTAAAGTGGATTCATGTTCACATTTTTCCTAATTACATGCCCTATGCATCATTATTAGAGTTCGCTAGTATTGTATGGTTTCAGGGAGGCTGTTAGATTGGCATTGTCGTTTTTGATTTCGTTTGAAACCTATATTCTTTTTGATAAATTCATTACGCAAAAATGTACGTCTATAGGTCCCCCAAGTTACTTTCGGTTGCTTTCGTTTTTACAAATCAAAATTGGCATCTATGTTGCAGTAAAACATTAGTTGTGGTACTTCTGTATTGCATTAGGCAACGTTGGCTGAAAAGTACACCTGAAGCCGATGGACACTTTCATAAGAAATAAAGTTGAAGCTATGCTAGAAGAAAAGTAATGTGTTTTATCAAACCCAGTGAGATATTTGGAGCCCAAATGTTTTATTCAGTCTCCATGTGGTCCCCCATTAGACAAATGCAAGATTTTGCAAGTTCAGGTAATATTCCGAGTTAAAAAAAACACTATTCTATGGGAGCTAAACATCTCGAAATATAATTCAAATAAATTGTGACCATGAACTGTTGTGTGAATCTAAGAAAACGAGAATTTTATCGTTGGAAACTTAAGATAATGGTTTTTAATAGACATATAGAAGTGTTATCTTAATGCTCCTTTACCCCGTAGAAAGAAACTTACTTATCACTACATACTATACATAGTCGAGACTGCTACTACGTAACCTAACGTGGTTGTTCTTCAATTCAAAAGGTCATACAATTCCTCAAGCCCTTTGGATGTCTGAGTTTCTCCTGCTTTGAATATTTTTGACAAAATGGCTTTTCATGAATGGCTTGTTTGTAAATCCATTCGTACCTTCTCTTTTGCGAAGCAATTATCCAAAAGATCCGAAAAATTGAATGGTTTAAACGGCAGTTAATTAAAATGGAATAATGTTCTGCTGATCCTTTTTCAATGCTTATTGCATGCGAAATTCAGGACGAGCACAACAATTGTGCATTGCTCATTTACCTGCTCGGGAACCGGTCTCGTTTCTAAAAATAAACGATTTTGCGCCAGTGGTATACAAAGATGAAACTACATATTCACGGACATGGGACTTGTTTCTTGCGGAATGCCAAAAAAGGGTTTTTAATAGGAAATAGTTTTTTAAAGCTACCTTATTTGAATTGCTTTTGTTAGTAACTTCCTAAGAACATTCATTCCTCACGTAAAGCTCTAGATATTTAGTAGTTATTTCTCCCTTGTGTTAGATTTCGAAGCCTCTGCACGGTATTTTTGCGTGACGCGATGGGCTTTTTACTCGTTTTTGACCTAACGAATGAAAAAAGCCTCCTAAGTTGCAGAGAGTGGATGAATTTGCTTTGCCAACATGCCTACTGCGAGCGGCCTGATGTGATTCTTGTGGGTAACAAGGCTGACAAAACCGAGGAACGAGTCATCTCAACATCAGACGCACAGAGGCTTGCGCAAGAACTTCAGTAAGTCACGGCTAACTTCGCCTTCCTTTATCCCACAAAAAACCTCACTTAGGGCTGCTGAGTATGCATAAAAAATATGACAAGGTATTGAGTATGACCTTCGAATTGTTGAGATTGGCTTTGAGCATGGCATGAGTGCAGTGACACTTGGCTTGTTAGGCTAATCTGTGCGTGCTTGTTAAGCTTAGCCCAACCTACGTTCGTGAAATTTTAGTACAGGCACATGTGCTTTGCCTTTCAGTGATGCTGCGTTATAAAGAGGCTTATTTGCTTTGTCTGGGAGTTCCCAACAATAAAATTAGTTAAATAATTTCCCTCTGTTTAGAATATAGGACAAAACAGAGGGCCATTGTGTGTATATTCGTACGTGTGGATTCAGTGACCTGATGCGCTGCTCTAGAGTCCAAATTTGAACGTAAACTTGCCTTTTTTAATCAAATGTAACTTTACTAATTCCCAAGTACCTAAACATCGTAAGCACTTCCCTTCTATTTAAACGGGCCAAGGAGGCTACTCGAAATTGTTTGGCCTAATGACGTACCTTCCAAGGTACTATTCTTTTAGCTTCACAAGACCTAGTTTTGGGAAACATTACTGACTTAGGTTTTTCGGAAGGTTATTTATCTTCCGTCACTCCAGATCTCAAATAGGCAATTTAAATTGTTTACATTGCTTCGAATTTATGCCAAAAAGGAAGTCTACTTGATGAGCTCTGATGATTAAGCAAATTAAGTGTTTCCTGTCACACCCCTAAAAAACCATCCATGGTTTCATACAAGCGTCGTCAGTGCGTTTGGTTGCAAGTTCGTTAAATCAAAATGCTCTGAGAAACCACATTATTTTTTGGCGGCCAAATAAGTATGAAAAGTGATATTTTTTTATTAAAAGGCAATGCGTTTACGCCAAAGATGCGTTTAGTACATTTTTTGCTTAACACACCACTATATATGGCTATAATGTGAAATTATGCACTTTCATCTGAGACGAAATATGAATTTTTAAATACTAACACATTATCTTTAAGTGCGTGCGTATCGAAAATCCACTTAACCACGCTATTTAGATGCTAACAATATTTGCAAAACCTTGGATGCCGTAAAGGGTGAAATTCTAAACCGAAAAACTTTGGTCTACTGTTTAATCAAATCACAACTTAAGAAAGTCTTAATTTTGATTTCCTACATAGCCCAACGCTATATCGGTGTGGTGTTCAGGCGTGTTTTCAGATCTGGTTTATTCCACATGATACTGAGGCTTCTTAATATCCTTTGCAACAATACGAAGTTTGCGTTTTCAATTTGCTAGGCCCACATTTACACTTTCCCGTATCCAGGGCTGCAATTGTGATGCAGCAGGCATCAAATGTTGTTTTGCAATTTTCCAACCCTGTAGATCATCTCTTAAGGTTACTTTAGAGGTAAACAGTAAAACTTCAAGTTGTCGCTAAATCCTCGGATTGTGTAGTTGTTGGCTTGAAACCGAAGGTATGTTCTTTTAGCGCTAAATAAAAATACATTTGCACAATATATTGGGATCGAGAAACAAGCAGGCTAGAGTACTCATTGGTAATTCATAAGTTCAAAGAACTTGTTCATTACAATTGACGGGTTTATTCCTATAAAGAGAAAGTTCTGTTACCGCGAAAGTCTTGGTGTCTCTTGAAGTCGTGTCTAGCGTGTCTATTCTAGCGGTAATCCGACAGTTTGATAAATGATTTGCTTGTTACAATCCCTAATGGCCGATGTTTGGTACAGTACACCCACGAACCGAGTGAATATGTTTCATTTAAATGGAAGAACTTCATTATTCTCTGAGGTTAAGATCATAGAGCTGATTTGTAGTGTTCAATTTGCTAAAAAATTTGGGATGTTTGTTAATTCAATAAACTCGCACATATCACCTTAGTCCTGCTTTCCATTTGACGTCACTCGTTCACATCAGACATGGATTATTGATGTTTCATCAAAACTTTTATGACTGACTTGAATTAATCGACGAATCAGCGGGAATAAATCAAATCCGGGAATGCGAAAACCAGAGTTTGGCGCGTCTTCCCAAGCTCCAACAAAGTTGATTGACGGTGTGACCAAAGTTTGGGTCAGCAGGAAAATCAAGTAAAAATAACTTCAGACATGACTTGAGGCAAAGCTCTTTAGCGATGTAGCATACATTTGCTTTGTGTAACAATAGACACGCTTTTTTAGCGGAACTGTTCACGAGTTTTGTTACTTTTTTTCTAAAACTAGAGTCCCCTACATAGAAACAAGCGCCCTCAGTGGAAAGAACGTCTCTGCTGCTGTGGATATGCTGCTGGACCTCGTGATGAAGCGAATCGAGGAGTCCGTAACTAAAGCCCGCATCCACAAGATGGCCAAGGACGCCAACGGAGGGATCCATTTGGAGAGCTCAAAGCCCGCGTCGAGTTCGTGTGCCTGTTGACAGGTTGTTGGTGAGTTAGTCCTTGATCTCGTTTGCCTAACCTTTGGCGTTGCTGTTTCTGCCTACGTGAGCATTTAGTCGCAACCAACGCACTCATTGTTGGTTTAATATAAGGTCGGTTTTCACATTATGCAAATAGTCTGCTTCAACGTATTCTAACCTCTCGAATAAGTGGAAATTTATTTAGCAAATTTAGTCCTATCCAGAGCCTTGAAATCCACGGGAGACGTTTTTTTCTCTCACATCACGTTTTCACCCAAATTCTTGACACGGTGAACCGGTGCAGAAGGTGTGTGGCTCGTGGAAGCCTCGATATGAACTTGCTTAATTTCTAGTAGCAACAAAACTTGGTTGAAACTGCACTTTACTGATTACTTGTATGCGGCCTTAATGAATTACTCCGGGAGTAGTCATCGGTGCAATAGGCTGGCGAGAATGTGATTTCGCCTTGCAGTGTTAAATAAAAAAATTTTTTATAATAAAAAATGTAAAATTTAATCCGATGACCTTTGGCAGTCTTTCCGAACGCTTTACAATTCTGCTCCCATGGAACACCTGAACCTTTCAGCAGAAAAATAGTGCAGTTGTTCCAGGTCATTATTAATATTTTGTCGTGTAACAAGTTATGCTGCCGGATTATTAATAAAATTCACGCGTCAAATTTAGTTCACCAGAATTTTTTTTGGAATCACACACAATTAGAAGTAGATTGTGATCCGGGGACGATTCAATATCACGTCCACACTGCGATCCAATGAACTTCCGTTCGTCACCAAAGCCGTGCGAGGTCTTGCATTGCTTGCATGAGACAAAATCTCTTTGCGTTTTGTCAATTCTGTTCGATATTCTACGATCGCTAATCAATCCAGTTTCGTTTGTTATTGGCAGCACACGTTGGACCGGGAAGTGACTCAAAACACACACGAATTTGTAATCCTACTAAAGCACAGCATGGCTCCTTGATGCAATTGAGCTCTTGATGCACTCTATACTGCTTCACCACGCCTGCTGTACAATCACTGTGGAATGGTTTATTGCAAAACAATTTACTTCACTTTTTTCGTTAATATCCCTTTCAAATAAGATGGTTTCGTTGTGTCTGAATTGGGTTTTCACGTATACTAAATTTAATCTCCCGGAATCTCTCACAGTTGAATAACAATCTGATTCAATTATAGCTTTGAGAAAGAAATCTCCTAAACGAAATTTTGTGAACTAGTTTTGGCGCGTGCATTCTATTAAGCACTCGGCAGCATAATTGTTGCGTGTCTTTTCATGCGATTCACCATCTTTCTTGCTTTTTTTCGCAAATGAAAAGGTGTAGCATTTCAGCAGTACTAATTTGCACTACATGTGAACATCAAGGCACCACACGATTGACAGAGGTTAACCTAAGCAAATAAACCGCTGCCTGGTTGTGAGAGTAAAATCCCCCGTTAAGTACATGACAAATTGTTCAAGATTCTCCTCCCTTCATAAATGGCTGCGTTACAATTGGGAAAAAAAATGTTCGACTACTTTACACTTGGGCGATTTCGTGGGGGCTGAATTAACGATCTCCTTCGCGCTTGCATTTCTGAGGTTGTCCGCATACGGTGTGCGGGCTTGTGGGCGACGCGATAGGTCAGTCTCCGTTATTCGCAACAGTGCTTATTGCTATCTCGAATTTAGCCTCACTATCACAACCTAAAAGCACATGACTGGTCACAGGCAGTGACTTAGGTGTACGCACCTGCTGACTACCAAATTAATTTTGATGAGAATATGGTTTAACGTGCCACAGGGCTGGTAGCAAGAACAACTCAAAAATGGAAATGGACAATCTCCTCAAGTACCAACCATTTTATCTTGTTTCCTTAACAAAAAGCCATTTGCTAGCCAAATGTTGCTCAATCTGGGTGTCATGGAGAGTGAGATAAGGAATGAAGTGGAGTGACATCGCTCTTTGGTTGACCCAAACCAGCCTGTTGTGATTTTTTGACAAATATATCGAAATACTCTACGTCTTCCCTGAAGTTTGTTGAAGTTAATTCAAACACCGGACTAACGGCTGGAGTCTTCCTGTCCCCATTGTCTCATGGCATTTTTGACGGCGTCGTCACGTCCCTCACTAAGGTAGCTGCTTGAAGTAGTGTTGGTGTTGGTGTGCGACTCTTGCCTGTGGGTAGCGCTATCGTGGCTGTCACTACAACGTGCTGAGAAGAGTATTGATCGTGACTTGGTGTGGTTATGCTCGTGTTTTCAAACGGGTCGTTGTAAATTGCAAAAGTTTTAAACTAGACCCTACTTTAATAAAGTCACCTGTTTAATTTCGGTTAACTAATTCCCGTCTTTTCACGAATTTTAGAAATACTAAAGAGGATTACTTTTATAGCTGCATCAATTTGGTTGTTTGTCTTTGTTGAAACTAAACTAAACCCTCATATATTTTCTGCATTTAAAATTAGTTATTAGCATAAATTTTGCTCCATGCTTTAACAAATCAAACCTCACTAAGTGAAGAGTCTAAAGAGTGTTAGTAAAAAAATAAATAATTGATTCTCGGCGTATGTCTAGTCTTCTTGACAAGCTTCTGTGGTAATCGAGTTTGGTTGGGTGTTCGACACCTCAGCAGAGCCTCTTAAAGGTTGTACTTTTTTTTATTATCAAACCTCCAGGGTGAAATTCGCTCAAAGAGCTAAATTGCCTTGTACCGAAGTGGACATTTGGGTTGCTGTCTATCGCAACGTTCATGAAATTCCAAAACTGGTGTATGGAAAGACGCAAATTTTCCTAACTTCTTTGTCAAATGTGGGTGTGGTGCAATCAGTCGCTGATAACCAAAAAAAAATAAACAGGAAATGAAATTTTGCGAATTTCCCGAATGTAACGCGGCATCTCCTGTAGTCGTTGTACCTGATGGATTGTCAACTATTAAATATCTCCATTGGTAGCTGCTACTCCTGGGTGCCGTGATACGAAGTAATCTTATTAGAGTCGTACAGATTAGTTGAAAAAATCCTTACCCAAGAAGACACGCCGCTAGATGGGACGCCTTGCCGTCTGCGGAATGTATTTTTGCACTAAATGAATGCGTTTGATTTTGTTTTAGAGATTGCGTTGCCAACCGACTATCTCTCAATCGAAATCCCTGCTTTGGACTAATAATACACATTGATGTATTGACACAGCTCCCTCAAACTTTGTAACCTGACTTTCACTGTGATCTTCCCTCCTGTATCTCGTGCATTGTTGGTGCGTGTGTCCGAAACCCGGGTTCGTTCTTGTGATCGTACGCTGGTCAGGCCTCCTCACACACATTCCACCCTTCTGCTTTCTTCTCCTATGCGCACGACTCCATCTGTGATACAATGTTCTTATCCATTCCACCTCTCCTTCATCAGGCTTCGTGTACTAAAGACAAACAGCAACTGCAAATTCCTGTTAAAACATTTTACACCACAGCTGTCGAATAAAACAATGCATAATCGATCGTGACGACAATTTCTATTTGCTTAAATTTTAGTACAGCAAAAGGTTCTTTAGATATTGAGTCTAGATGATGAGATCATTGAAGTGCTAATAATGAGCACGAAACGCTCTTACTTACTGCATTTCAAACTTGATTCCGAATTATTATATCAATTGCCTTAAACGTGGTGCTTGTGTACAACTCTTTGAAAATCGCAGCAAGGTCTCAATTTTTAAAACTGGTTGATCTATTTATCAATTTAAGTAAAGTTGATGAGTAAATGATCGATTTTGTTAACGATGCGCCGAAAGACTACATTTGATCATCACATTTGCTAAAGAAAGGGAATGGTAAAAGTGAACACTTGCAGAGAAGAGCATATTTTGTACTAATGATGATAAGGAAAGAGAAAACGTGGTTTAAGATAGCCTCTTTCAATTAGGGAGACCGTGTGGGAACAAGATTGGGGAAGGTATATCTATCAAATGGGATGGGAAAAAGTTGGAATCTAGTATTGGTGAAAAGATAAGTTACGAATGCATTGACAAGACACAGGACGAAGTACCAAAGAAAGAAATGAGGCTGAGGCGACGAATTTCGGCAGTTTACTGTAATGACAGGAGACAGGCGCAGTCCATTCGATTTCTGAACATGGACACAAAGTGAAGGCATTTGTGTAGCTTTGTTCAGATTACATTTAAAAAATTGTGAATCGCTATGGTCGCACAAAACTAGTGATGACCATGTGATTCCGAGACAACATCGACAGATGGCCAAGTTTAATGAAAATTAGGCACTAATTACTAAACTAACATCTTTTTCTAAAAATTCCTGTTATGTTTTTTTTTTCATGCAAACAATTCCCAGGTGGTTCACGTTGAACGCAAACGTTACACTGAAGGGGCGCTTGAGTTCATTTGTATCACTCCTGTGTAAAGCAAAATCAGTAATATAGATGCCGCAAACACTCGGTACAACTACAGCCACTCGATACACCAGGTGTTCGGGTGTTATGTTTGCCCGTAACAAAAAGAGAAGACCACTCAAATAACGGCACCAGATCCCTTGCTGAAAGTAGAACCGACCTTCCTAGGCTAATACAAGAACAAGACCAGAGCTCGTGTAGAGAGCTTTGATCACGTCAGCCACGGGCAGAGAGGCAGTGAAATCGAAAGTGAAAACGAAACTAATTCAAGTCAGGGTTGACCTTGACCTGATAAAAAGCGTAACAAAACAAATGTTAATAAATGAATGTAAATAGAATCAGAAACCAATCTTGGGGAATCGTGGATCCCCAACACCGGGTCGCTCCTCTAACTAATTACCCAATTTTAGTTTTTTTGCATTTCACTGCATTGCATCTCCCTTACTCCTTTAATCCGAATGCCAGGTGGTAAGGGCATGGTGAACTACAGACACGACGAGTCATTTTGAGCTCAGAGTTTATGTGCTAGCGGTGTGCGTGTGTGCACCTCTGTCACACACACGCGGCTGTTGCAAACGTTTCTATTTCACCAAAGTGCCTGGTATGAGCTCTGTGGCAACACTAGCGAAGCGTTGAACCAAGGGTCTTCTGGGGGATGAACTTGCAGCGAGCCGCAAGCGAGAAGAGTTAGCAATCGTCAGCGAACACAATTGAATCAGTTGGCGTGAATGCACTTCATGTAGTTACCTTCGGTCGGTGGTCGATGTTCATCGATCCCATATTAACAGACAACTTGATAGGTTGTACAACTACGCTACTACTGCATTAATAAACCTCTTGAATTAGACGTTATCTGGGTCTCCTCTCTCGTCACATTTCTTCTTTCTGTGCTTTGCTTTGTATTTGGCCGCAACAAATTGGTGGCACCGACAGAACCGACTTTAGTCTAACGTAGAAGGTATAAGCATAAAATAACCTCCATCTGGACAGATGCTGTCTCTAGTTTGTTTGCTTTTTTTGAAGCACAATTTCACGGAGTCAAAATTGGCAGTCGGCAGGCTAACTGCTCACATCTAGCTTCAGTCCTGATTAGTGAGTTGGCGAACCAAGTATCAGATGTACTGCTTCACCTTGACTAGAAAGCAAATTATGACTATTTAAAAGCTGAGACCCTCAAAAGTAAGCAGCTCACGTCTTGTGATGAGTTGGTAGACTTAAAGCTGACACCGATTCTGCGGCGAATGCTTCACCTTTCTAACGATGACACTTTGCCCGGCGACTTATGAAAAGCGTTTAGTCTCTAAAAACTACAAAAACTTATCTAATCAATCCTGACTCCCATTGTTTAAATGTCGACTCTTAAGCAATTGGCACAAACCCCAGACCTCGTAGCGGAAACGACCAAATCGACACATACCTCCGAAATTAAAACTGGCTCTCAAAAACAATTAAAATACCCTTCGTCTGAATACTTCGCTGAAGTAAGGGATCGCCTAGTCAGTATTAAAGCGGCAATTGATCTTTTCGAGGCGTTATATTCTCTGCCTCGAAAAGATCACTCGCGGTCCCGTCGAAGGTCCACTTCTCGATTATCATCTCGACATCTTTGTTGGTAACACGAAGACCTCGGACGCGCGGCCTGATAACGTAGTCTCCCGCGTAAGTTTGGAGCCTCAGACTCGCGCACACAGTCGGTAAACGGGAACGCCCGACAGTAGTGGCGTCGACTGCCAGTGACCATTTCAATCGCCTCCTTTCTTATCCAACAGGTCAACTGGTATGCGATTCTTGATCAACTTAAGAGCCGACATATCCGTTATCCCTTCAACGCATGGTGACTGACGGTCTTCTAACCCCTTCTCTGTTTTCTTGGCCGCCAACGGTTCCCCCATCCCCACCTACAGTTAAAAAACTCTTACCCCTGACCTCATCCTACAACGCTAGTTTTGTTGGGTTTTCATTATCCCGGAGGTAGCTCACTCAATCATAGGAGCTGATTTTGTCAACCTCCTTAGTCTCCTTCTCAACTTTAAGAACAAGCGTCTAATAGGTTCCCTAACGAATTTTTCTGTCAGGTGTCCCCTTCAAACAATATCAGCCATTTCATTGGTTAAAACATTACAAATTGAAACCGAACCTTACTTGGCCGCACTACAAAAATATCCAGACCTCATCAACCCAACACACCCCACAAATCGAAATTCGACACGAGGTCAAGCACAAACTATTGACGATTTAATGGCGAGAAAGAGGACTTTCCCCAACCAGATACTCAACGGCTAAACAATAATTTGAACGCATTTTGCAGCTTGGCATAGTCCGAGGATCAGATTGCGAATAGTCATCAGGGATGAGCACGGTTCCCAAGAAAGCTGATGGTGAATGGCGTCCATGCGATGATTATCGTGCCCTTCAAGCAAGAACCATCCCTGATCCCCGTCCAATACCAAATCTGCATGACTTTTCTTCGAACCTAAACGGAAACTGTGCTTTCCAGGTTATATTTGGTGTGAGCTTATTATCAGATCCCTGTCGAACCATCCCAAAGACATCGATTGCGATGATGTTCGGTTTGTTTGAACTCGTGCGAATGCGTTTTAGCCTAAGAAACGCAGGTCAAACTTTTAAGCGTTTACATCCATCACGTATTATTTAGTCTGGATTTCGTATTTTCGTACATCGATGACGTTCTTGTTGCCAGTGCAGATCAAAGGGAACACCTGAAACACCTGGAGATTGTCTTCCAACGCCTCACCAAATACTGTTTGATTTAAACTCGTCAAAATTTGTTTTTGGAGTTCCTAGGAGACATTGTCCCTACTGCAGGTTTAGGGCCTACCGACATTAAGGTGAAAGAGTTTCGAGAATTCTCAAGGCCAAGTTCAATCAGTCAATTAACTTTGACGTTTCCTAGGCATGGTCAATTTCTACCGCAGGTTCCTTCCCAACACAGCTCACACTCTCGTGTCTCTTACCAATCTACTCAAGGGCTGCTCTAAGAGGTTAACCATGGTGCGCGAGGCACGAGGAGCTTTCACAGCCCCAAAGGAGGCTTTGGCGAAGACTGGCGCAGTCTTGCAGCAAACGCTTCAGGTTTATCTTCGTCCACAAAGACTTGCCCTTTGCAAACCACTGGGGTTCCGATCTGCTATCACCAGGCGAATCAAGACACTTGGTTTGCATTTTACACTTTTCAATCGACATTCGTCACGTCAGGGGCGAGGGCAATGCTGTGGCTGATGCACTCTCTCGTTTGCACATCGATGCTTTAAACACAAGTACACACGTGGATTTCGAGAATATGGCTATCGATTAGCAATCCGATGAGGAAATGAAGGAATTTCGAAGACAAAATACAGCCTTAAAGCTCGTTGAAGCTCCTCGACTTTCCCCTACACGTATAATCATCTGCTACGTTTCACCAACTGGTGTGCGACGCCCCTCTTTGTTATTGGTTTTTTTGTTAGCAGTCGCCTGTTACGACGTACGCGTATCGATACACACAGAACTTAGTTACTCGACTCGACCTGACTGGTATGGCGCGGATAAACGGTCGTGTTCCCTGTCGACTCGGCCTTCTCTTTTCTCGGGTTGTGACCGGTTGTTATCTACTGGGTTTCGCGGTAGCGCTAATTTAGGCCCCTACAAGCTGTTTCAGCCCAAAATGAAGATGCTCGCACTACATTATTAACAGTGCCCATTTAGCAGCAGTTTGAATGGGCAAGACCATTTTCACAGATCAGGGGATGCTCTGCCTATGCTAAAGAGACTTCTTGCATTATCTGAATGCCAAGCAATAGCCAATTTTGCACTAAACTCAGGTTATTGTATCCATTTTCCTAGTATGATTAACTGGAAGTATAAATTTTAGATTAGTCACAATCCCGTGTGCCGTGTTTGTAAAACTAGCACACAAGCAGTCACTACGGCATTGTCTTCGTGAATTCGCTGCCTTAGTACAGTGATGAGGACAAAGCAACAGAACCAGTCACTACGCTGTGTAGATTGCAAATGGAATGGCAAATGCTTTGGCATTTCGACTTAAACCCTATAGCAGACCACGCATATTACCAACCAACCAAGCACCTGAAGATTCATTACCCTGGGTTTTTCGCTTCGGAATGTCTAATACCTAAGTTGCCATCGTAATTTTGCTATGAGTGGTGAATCCATTCAAATTAGACTAACTGGACAGCTTAGATTTTTAAAATTAGAATGGTTAATCATTTAAATCAACCGTTAATTAGTGACAGGTGCTCAAATAGCCCCACTAATGCCGCCAGCTAGCGATTCATATTAGTCCCGGCACTTAGGGAAAAATCAAAAATTTCATAGAGTCCAAACACCCCATCAAAAAAGCAGACGTTGTCGTAAATCTCTGGAGAAAAATACTATACAGAAAATAGGCCATGTTACACTTCTTCACTCCATTTCAATGTCTTCTGAACTGGAAGCGTCCCACGGACAAGGCGGGAGGGGTTGGGTCGTTATGATCAATCCCGTTTCATAAAGGCTATTGGCGAGGACCATCTAAACAAATACAAGACGAAATTATGCGAAGCTAACACCACAAGACATTTCTCATCGCAGTCAACATACAACGTTGAAGGAACACCTTAGTTACGCAGCAGTAGTGTCAAATAATGCCTAGGTTCGGGCTGCGGAGAAAGCGTCTTTGGCAAAGAACTCTTTCATTCACGGTCCGCCTCATCACCATTCACTCTACGTCGGGGGTTTAGGACACCAACATTGCTAGCCTTGTTCGCTTACACACCCACACTTTTGGGACCGACTTCGCTTGTACTGGGTTTGAACAAAGTGTGACCTTTAAAGCGTCACCACCCAGGTCGGACGAGTGCTCGACTTGGGTCCACATACCACCTTCCAATGAGAAGTACCCAAACATCTCACGAATGTTGACTGCTGGCTATAAGTGGGTGGCATTACAGTTCGACCCCAGCTCAACATATCCCATATCTCTGTGTGGGTTGGCTCCAACGTAAACATACCCTATTTACTACCATTAGAAACTACAAATATATGCACTAAAGTGCTGTTACCATCAAACGATGTTCTATTTGTTATGCAAATTATAGCTAAAGTTTCGACAGTTTTTAAAAGACGTTTTAGTAATACTTATTTGGAACCGTCCTTGAGACTTTTGCTTGGCGGAACAGAGAACAAGTCAGTCAATATACTTCTGCCCCCAGCCCCCTTTCCCTCCTCTGCAGTTTGCGTACTTTTTCACGCCGAAGCAAACGAAACTACGAACCACATTGGGAATAACGCCTGGGGCTGCACCGTAAAAACCAGGAATTTTGGCCGCTGTTGCTTTGGCAGTTCTGTGGTTCTTGTACTCTTGTAAGGCATTTCGTTTAAGCCAAAAAAATAATTTTTAAGTGTAACCTTAGTTGGAAGACAATTGCCTAACTACCAAACGTTTTTTTGCAAAACTTGATTACACAATACTTGCCACAAAGTAACCTAAATGTGATGTATACTGGGGCTCGGCGTAGCAAATATGACCTAAATGTAGCGAAGTAACGCGTCAACAGCATACCTTCGAATCGATGGAACTTCCGGGAAGGTCACAAATTTCGATGGATGCGGGGTAGGCGTCTAATATCGCCTTCACTGCTTGAAGATTCTACAATGGTTAAGGTTCTCCTTAGTAAAATGCACGCTGCTGCTACCTACACATCCCAGATTCAGACCAGTAAAATGATCCGACGGATACAGTGGAACTCGGAGTTCAGTTGTGTGATGATTTGTTATCCAAGACTTCACATTTTAGACAACTACGTACAGAAAAAAAGACGGCATCAACGGGGGCAATTTTAAATTACACACAGTTAAACGTAATGACTGTGACGGTCTGTGATACCAGGGGCAAGGTGGCACCTGAAATAAGCTACATTAAGAAAAAAAGTGTTCACAAGTTGGGCATCGGAAAACTTGAAGGAGTGTCTCAGGTAAAAGACCCATGAAATTAAAACAAATGGGGCATTTTAGCGACTTGGAACTCTCCGGTCAATGGTGCTACAACATAGTCAAAGAAGGTCATTAAACGTGCAAGTAGAGTATGGCTAAGGGTCTGATTATGCGAATTTTTTCTTCATAAACTTACTTCTGAGGAAAGCTCCAAGTAGTGAGTCTCATTGGTATCTCTGATATCCAAACTGTTGTATAACGCGTGAAAGATGCGAAAACGGGATCCACAAACCGAAATACAAGCTGCGGTCTGACGAACCAGACGAATTGGCGTCTCTGGTTCGAGCTCGACCCCCAAAGCAACACGGCCTTCTTGCTGCGGTCGCGACGGTGGCACATCCACTTCCTCCAGATCTGCGTCTTCGGAAATAGTCTGGTTCGGATCCAACCAGACTTCACCCTGCCTGGAAACATGACCGCAGGATTCGGCTAAAGTGTGGTGAGCACACGCAACTTGTCACAAATAGCATCACCTGTGAACCACGATTAGGCAACATGAAGATGACAAAAGATGTCGCCTGAGTAAGCAGACAGCGACACAAGGTTTCGCTACAATTTTTTTAACTTAGCCCACTCAAATGAAGAGAACAGCTTACACTCGTGAAGGGCAGGCGCGCGCATTCGACGCACGAGGTCAATTTTAAACGCCTCGACGGCGGCCCTAATTTTCTTAGCAGTCTTGGCTGGCTTGTCAACTGTTCCGCCGAGCAAAACTCTCAAAGACGATTCCAGACATTCTGTTTTCAGTCCCTAAAAGTAGACACTGACAAATTTGGGAAAAGAGAAACACGACTTGAGTGAAAATGCGCCCTGATTATTTCCTTCATTTCAACAAAAAAGGAAGAAAATTTGTTTTCCTATTCCAATATCTACAAAGTGAACCTGCAACGTCATGGCTAGAAATAACTCATTTTGAA